TTTTATCCCTGTGATTAGTACCAAAATAACACTGCAGGACAAGGACATGATGAAAGTAATAACAAGATTATGTATTAGAATTCCATGCTTCAGTAGAATGCAGTCTGGTTGGAGTACATCAATCTGAGTTAGTAAATGGATTAATCAGGAAAAGTATACATACTAAAAGAGGTTCAGAAGTTTTCCCTGTATGAGGTCAAATTCCTTGCCTACAATATACAGAATGACGTCTGCTGTTCTTGGCCTGTTATTTAAGAGAGATCTAGCCTTACTCCTCAAAATGATGAAGAAGAAAGCAAGAAATCTGGATTGAACAAAGATGGCTAACCATATTCCATTGACATCCACATGATTACACTATATAGGATTCCCTGGTTCTACCTGGTGATCTCCTACATAGAAAAGGACTAAAGGGCTCGCTTTCCCTAATGTTATCCCAGAGTTGCATCTGATTAAAGTCAAGTAGGACCGGAACATTGGGTCAGCAGTGACAAGAGGTAATATCACTGGGCTAGTAATTCAGAAACCCACTGGGAACATGGGTTTAAATCCCCTCATTTTCTGAAGAAACTCAGCAGGTCTGGCAGCATTCTGTTTATTGCTTGTTTCAGATCTCCAGGATCTGCAGTTCTCTGTTTCTTTTAGAATAAGGAATATTCCTTAGAGAGCACCTTCCAAACCCCAGACTGTTATCATTTGGAAGTACAAAGGCAGCAGACCACCTTCAAGTTCTTCTCCAAACCACCCATCATTCTGATACATTGCCATTCCTTCACTATCGCTGGGTCAAAACTCTGGTGCTCCCTTTCTAAAAGCAGATCTCTCAATAAATGGAGAAAGAGAAGAGGTGAAATGAAGCAGGCTGGATTATTTGAAAATAAGAGCTGTTTGACCTTTCCTAACTGAAAAACACAGAGAGAGTATTGAGGGTAAATGTGAACACAGGACCGAATACAAAAGAAATTTAAAGATTGTAAAAATAATGCTTGTATCTTTATCATTACAAGCATTATATTCCCATACAAGCCATCAGCAATAAGACACAAGTAAATGGTATGCTCTTGTAATTCTGCCAAGTCTTCTTTAAACCAAAGAAACTGGACTTCACAACTTCACAAAACACATTCAATGAAAATCCGAATGGGTATCTAAGATTTTCATCGAATAAATGAAATTATGAAATACATTTGTTCAGTAGTCTTGGCTATTGGAACCAGCCATTCCAGTTGAGGCTGTATTAACAGGTCAGTCACTCAGTTCGATAAAAAAATGGTCATGGGTGTAAAATAAATTCAGTGATGTTCCAACTGCTCAACCTAAGGGCAACCAAGCAAGAAAAAAGATGCAACAAATTTAGTACATCAAAGGAGGCTCTGAAAATATTTTCACTGAAATCTCTTCACTGGTTTGTTTCATGCAATATGAACTTACCATCTTTGGTAATTTGTCTTAAACCTATCATGTACCATTGGAAAAACTGAACATCTAGAGGGAGTTGTGAAACAAGAATTGCCTTTTGATGAAAATGCAAGTTTTTGAAGCACATAAGAGTTACTGCAAGCTCTTATTAAGATGATAAATACAATTTAATGGTGTATCTCTGTGTTGTTTCTATTGTGTTCTTGAGTTTTTTTCTCTATTCATTTTGTGGGATGTGGGCATTGCTGGCTGGCCAGCATTTCTTGCCCATCCCTAGTTGCCCTTGAGAAGGTGGCGGTGAGCTGCTTCTTGAACCGCTGCATTCCTCTTGCTGTAGGTTGACCCACAATGCTATTAGGAAGGGAATTCCAGGATTTTGACCCAGCAACAGTGAAGGAACGGCGATATATTTCCAAGTCAGGATGGTGAGTGACTTGGAGGGGAAATTGGAGGTAGTGGTGTTCCCATATATCTGCTGCCTTTGTCCTTCTAGATGGAAGTGGTCGTGGGTTTGGAAGGTGCTGTCTGAGGATCTTTGGTGAATTTCTGCAGTGCATCTTGTAGATAGAACACACTGCTGCTACTGAGCGTCGGTGGTGGAGGGAGTGAATGCTTGTGGATGTAGTGTCAATCAAGTGGACTGCTTTATCCTGGATGGTGTCAAGCTTCTTGAGTGTTGTTAGGGTTGCATTCATTCAGGCAAGTGGGGAGTATTCCATCACACTCCTGACTTGTGCCTTGTAGATGGCGGACAGGCTTTGAGGAGTCAGGAGTTGAGTTACTTGCCGCAGTATTCCCAGCTTCTGGCCTGCTCTTGTAGCCACTCTGTTAATGTGGTGAGTCCAGCTGAGCTTCTGGTCAATGATAACCCTCAGGGTGTTGAAAGTAGGGTATCAGTGATGGTAAACCATTGAATGTCAAGGGATGGTGGTTAGATTGTCTTTTATTGGCGATGGTCATAGCCTGGCATTTGTGTGGCGTGAATGTCACCTGCCACTTGTCAGCCCAAGCCTGGATATTGTCCAGATCTTGTTGCATTTGGGCATGGACTGCTTCAGTACGTGAGGAGTCACAAATGGTGCTGAACATTGTGCAATCATCGGTGAACATTCCCACTCTGATCTTATGATGGAGGGAAGGTCATTGATGAAGCAGCTGAAGATGGTTGGGCCGAGGACACTACCCTGAGGAACTCCTGCAGAGATGTCCTGGAGCTGAGTTGATTGACCTCCCTCAACCACGACCATCTTCCTCTGTGTCAGTACTTGCAGGAATTTCAAACATTTCCATTTTCATAGCCAATGTCTCTTCAAAACCCCCCATTTGCTTTCTTAGATAAGAAATTAGACTAAACCCCTGCATTGGATATAATAGCAGATTAGGAAAGTGGTTTGAAAATTTTGTTCACCTCAATCCTGCCTTAGTCATTAGAGAAAAGTTAGTGATTGCATGCCTTGAAGATGTATGAAAGCAGGGTAAATTACATTTTGCCAATGAAATAAAGACAGATGGCATTGTAAGCACTGTGGTTGCAAACATAAAATTATAAAAAGGTACTGATAGATTGATTGAATGAGCAGAACTAGTGACAAATGGATTTCAATGCAGGCAAATGTGAATCACTTACTTGGACTTAAAAAGGATGGAACTCCCTAAAAGTTAGAAATAATGGAGGCCAAAAGAGACACAGGGTTCCAGATAAATAGATCATTGAAATGTGGTAAACAGGTAAAAAAAAAGGAATGTTATCCTTTATATCCAGATGGCTGAATACAAGAAGGTATAAGTCATACATCAGCTATACAAAGCCCTGGTTAGACAATATCTGGAACAATGCGCTTAGTTTACCTTCACTTAGGAAAGTTGTTTTGCACTTGAAGAAAATTATGCAAAGTTTACCAGGATGAAATCTGAATTCCAAGGGTAAATTGCAAGGGCAGATTATTCCTTAGAATAAATCAGGTTGTATTCCTAAGAATTTATAAGGCCATTGGTCATAGAGTGTACAGCATGGAAACAGGCCCTTTGGCCCAACTTCTCCATGCTGACCAGGTGTTCTAAACTGAACTAGTCCCATTTGCCTGTGTTTGGCCCATATCCTCTAAACCTTTCCTATCCATATAACTGTCCAAATATCTTTTAATTTGATTCAAATTTTCTTCATATAGAGACAGACAAATAGAGTGGATAGAGGAAAACTACTTCCACTATTTTCACTATATTTCATGGGATGAGGGTAAGAGTCTAAAAATTAGAGCCAGAGGAGTGAAAGCAGGAAAGTATTTTACACATATTGGGTGGGAGACCATTGGAACTCTGCTAAATTAATGGTTAATTTTAAAACCAAGATTGGTAGACTGTAAAAAGTCATAGAATCCCTATAGTGCAGATAGAGGCCTCTCGGCCTATTGATTCTGCACTGAACCTCCACAGAGCATCCACCCAGATCCATCCAATTCCTGTAACCCATACTCACCATGGCCAATCCACCTAACCTGCACATCTTTGGGATGTGGAAGAAAACCAGAGAACCCAGTGGAAACCCACACAAACATGGGGAGCATTTGCAAACTCCACACAGACATGATGTGGTAGTGCCGGTGTTGGACTGGGGTGGACAAAGTCAGAAGCCACATGACACAAGGAGCGCTCAAAAACCTGGTAATTTCAAATAAGCCTTTTGGACTATAACCTGGTGTGGTGTGAGTTCTGACTTTGTCCACACCATCACTAGAGGTTGCAATAAAACCCAGGTCCTAGTACTGTGAGGCAGCAGTGCTAACCACTGAGCCACCCTAAACACTGGAGGAGCTCAGCATCTATGGAGAGAGAAACATAGTCAACGTTTTGAGTCCAATATGACTTTTTTATGGAACCTAACTGAGTTCAGAAGATAAATCATGTTGGATTCCAAGCGTTAACTCTGCTTCTCTGTCTGCAGATGATGCCAGACCTGTTGAGTTTCTTGAGCTCCCTTCTGGTTGTATGTGAGCTCTCCATCATCCGCGGTATATTACCGGGACCCTTCACCATTTGACGGCGATATGAAGACTACTGGGAAACGCAAAATTACAACGATCGCACAGTTCAAACGACAAGTTTCCACAATAACTACATGGGGTTGCAAACAGCAGACAATACAAGAAAGACATGGTAGTGGAGTTGCTGAATCTTGGAGAAAGTGAAACATGACACAGGAAGAAAGCAGGGGGTAAGAGGCTGAATTCCTGATCCCTCTAGATACATGGGCAGTACCATTCCCGTTCGTTACACTATCGCTAAGTATCTCTTTATTCCATATCAGTAAAACCATTGAGCAATATAGAACCTCCTTCCAAAGCTTGCAAGTTTAATGCAAAAGGAATTCTTCACGGAAAGCGCTCTTTTCCTTCTGACTGCGCAAACTACCATCGCTGCGTTTGTGTTTTTTTTGGATCTTCCATTTCTCCAGATTGAGAAATTGCCATAGAAGGACCTTTGAAGTGGAAATGAGGGAGGGCTGTGCTGTAAGTGCATCACCGTTAGGACCGTGTGTGTGTGTGTGGCGGGGGAGGGGGGAGCGATTATCGAGAGCTCACCATCTCAGCTGATCGCCAGAGCCAGGAGATCAGCAACCGGGGAGGGAGGGAGGATCGAGGCAGTTCGATCCTCTGCACCGTGTTGAGATTTTCTGTTTCTGCGCGGACTCGACCTGCACCAGGCGACTGTGTGTGCGTGTGTGTCGTAGCAAACCCTGGAATGAAAACCTCTCAATTGTGTGCGATCAGATCAGCGCTGCAGATAAGCAAGGGAATGGACTAGTTATTTTTAATGGAAGCTAACCCAACAGCTTTACAGCCGTGTGGAGTCGGTACATCTCGGTATGTGATCATATTTTATTCTTGTTTTAAAGAAGGATTCATTGTTATTTTTGTTTTACTGAGACTTTGTGCATCTCTATGTGAAATGATCGCTGAACTAGTTGTTATCTTTTTTTTTCAAAGTCTATATTCTCCTTATTCCTGTTTTAGACCTGAAACTGCGTTTGGGTTGCATTGTGTGGCTGGCTGGGATAGGGAACCTGCTGAATGTATATGTGTGTGTCAGTGCTGGGCTATGACAGTCCACGATGTGCTCTTTCTGAAGTTAGTGTTCCTCTGCCATATCTTCCCAGCTTGTTATAGATCCGGCCCGTGTCACTTTCCCATCTTTGCTCAGTCACAGATCTGACAGAGGGGTTATGTTGCAGCTGTACAAGATGCTGGTGAGGCCACACCTGGAGTACTGTGTGCAGTTTTGGTCTCCTTGCTTGAGAAAGGATGTACTGGCACTGGAGGGGGTGCAAAGGAGGTCACTAGGTTGATTCTGGAGTTGAGGGGGTTGGCTTATGAGGAGAGACTGAGTAGATTGGGATTATATTCATTGGAATTCA